CCTCCCCCTCTCCCATGTCCCCCCGGAACTGTTGGTCCCGTTGTTTTCTCCTCCAGATCGTTCATCCAGCCTGTCCTATCAAGACAGGCCTGCTGCAAAAACTATTGTTAAGGTCCATGGGTGGCATAAAAAAGGCAAAGTTTTGCTGCTATTTATTCAACTTTACACAAGAAATATTTGAAGAGTAATGAAAAGTGAAGTCTCTCCAGCTAGTAGGTCCATAAGGACAAGACGAGCAGCTTATTTGTAAATTCTTTTGTATCACCAAAAACGCAGAACACAGAAGTTGTTCACAAATACTTGAACTGATGTATAATCGTTCTTTCTTTATTCCCTACTTGCTTTCCAAGTACCACTTTATATCTGAATTCCTGTTTCTGCAATGTAGGTGGTTTTCCTCCAATCCTAAAATGCACCACTCTGCATTAAAACAGGATTCTGCAAGAACTGGGGGGGTCGGGGGGGGGTGTACATTCCAAAGAACAGTTCTGATCAAATGAGGGAAAATACAGAAGAGAATTTCAAATTCTGACAGATTCGATGCCTGCTGGAGCCATGGAAGCTGGGTGACCCCTGAAGTGCGGCCCTGCGGTAATGAGGTCATTTTTAAACCTTAAACCTAAAATCCCCTGAAATCTTCTTGAAACAAAAGTTTAATTCGTTTATTAAAAAAAAAAAAGTCTGCTTGAGCATTACACTGTTAAGAACTATCTATAATAAGAACAAATCAAGAGAACTCTGATGGCAAAGTGGTTACGTGTTGGACTGCTAGCCACAAGGTCAGCAGTTTAAAACTACCAGTAGCTCCCCAGGAGAAAGAGGAGGCTTTCTACGCGTGTAATGAGCTAGTCTCTGAAACCCGCGGGGGCAGTTCTACCCTGGCTTTAAGGCTGCTGTGAGTCAGCACTGACTTGGTTGCAGTGAGTTTGGGTTTGTTGTTGTTGTTGCTGAACGGTTATATTCTCAACAACAACATAAAATTTAAAGGGAAAAACACAGGATTAGAAACCCTATCATCCTCGGATGGATGAACGTATCAGTGTGATGTAAATAAACCAAGCCACATTCACCATCATTTATGCAGTTAATTCAGCAGAGACTCCACATCACACACTAAGGAGCTGATGGGCTTACTCGGGAGAACCTTGGCGACAGCACTTCACAGTCGCTGCCTAAAATAACTGCCCAGGTGCTAGTCTTCAACATACATGGACAACAAAGCACCACCAGACACTTGAGAATAAGATAATCCTAGGTTCTACAGACTGAGAGGAAACAGAATTCAGGAAGTGAGAGAATTTTGTCTTTCACACAAGGCTCAAGAGGGTTACTCCCACACATTTCCTAAGACAGTAACCAAAGAAGGGAGAAAACCAAGACGTAAGATTCAAGGAATAGTGGCTCCACCCCAGCCCTGAAGCCCAGTGCGTCCGGCCTGTGTCGAACTGAAGCCAGTTGAATGGCCCCAAGAAAAAAGAGGAAGCCCATGTAAAAGGTAGCATGTGACTTAGACTCTGCGTAGCTAGGTGGCTGTGATGAAGGCGCAGTACGACAAACCCAACAGGAAACCCAGAGTATGAGGAAG